ATTTAGTCTTTGCAACTTTACAGATCTTCTTTATGCACCAAGAGCTTGTAACACTCCAAAGAGAAAGTAAAAATTGAAATCGCATCATATGACCCCTTTAAGAGGTTCTGTAGGATTTCCTCTCCATTGTGTTAAACACAGGCTGGATGAAGGGTTCTGCTCCCTGAGGGGCACATACAAACCCACAGACTTGATTGTGTCATTAACCCTTGCGGTTGCTGGCTAGTGCTTTGTTTATTAGTTCAGACAGTTGAGTCAATAATTCTGCACTGATGCTTTTTGAACTGGATTTTTTTTGCAGGTGGAATATGTGAAACTACTGAATAGGTACCCTGAAAAGAAGTCCGTTCTGGGAACTCTTTATTTGACTGCTACTCACCTTATCTATGTGGAACAAACCAACAACACACGCAAAGAAACATGGGTAATGTAGGCCAGTGGGAACAATATACGTAATAGTCTTCTACTTATCTGTTGTTGGGTCTTTTAGAAATACACATCATTCTCGATATGTCTGATAACAGTGGATATATCAATCCCATGTGTTTGAAGGTGCTGCATCATCACATCATGTCGGTAGAGAAGCTTCCATTAACTGCACATGGTTGTCCGCTCCTGATCCGCTGTAAAACCTTCCAGCTGCTTCATCTGCTGTTCCAAAGAGAGAGAGATTGTCAGGATGTCTATCAGTCACTTCTGCGTCTGTTTCAACCAGGTGCACAAACCACACACACACACACACGTTTGTTTCGCTATCTTTTATTGCATAGACTTCCATTGATTTTATATCGGGTTAATGATATTTTCTATCACCTAACCCAACCCCTACCACCCCTAAACTTACCCGTCACAGAAACATATGCAGAACACTAGATTTAAATAAAAACATCTTTGGCTGATTTGTAAGCCTTTTTAACTAGTGAGGACTAGTGGGTTGTCAAAGTATTTTAGTATAGAAGACATTTGGTCCTCACAAATATAGTCAAAACAAGTACACACACACAAACAGATA